GTACAGCGCCCGAGAACGGCCCCCTAAACCGCCTGTGTTCATGCTACACTGTTTCTAAACCCCCCCCTCGGCCCCTCACCTAAGTCTTCAGAGAGCCAAGGCTCAGCTCCAGCCGAGCCAGCCGCTCCTCGGAGGAGCGAACATTGGTGCAGAGGGATGTTTTAGGGGGGAGGTTGTTCCGAAGTACTTGTAGCTACAGAAAATTTTAGGGGGGTTCCAGTTCTGAACAGGGCTACAGCGGCTGGGTTCCGTGCAGCGGCATACGGCTCATGTCGTACGCATACTGTGCACCCGGTGTGTGTGGAGTGAGGACGAGAGCGAAGTGTCGATGAGTTTCCCCTATCCTAAAGACAGTGCCGCGGCATCTGTGTGGAGCGAAATGAAGCCTAAAGTGTGGGGTAGCGGATCCAGCCCCAAAAGCGCGATTGGGTGCAAAAGAAGCCTAATCTATAAACCCAGTTGCCGAGGGGTCTTCGAAGGCCACCCGCCCCCCCTCCCCCGTGCTGAAAGAAGCCTCCCCCGATATATAAAGTAGTACACCTCCAACGGACTCTCGCTGAAACGTTTTGGTTTTATATTCTGCAATACCTCACTGCCAAGTTCCAAGCACAAAGAAAACAAGCATTATAGAAGCTTTTGTAGTTTGCGGCTTGCTATACGGGGTTGTACCTTGCGAGGGTTTCGGCATTCAGGCAACTCTTTAAATCTTGGGATTGCAGGTGTGGTTTTGGAGTGCTCGCTGAACGATGGCTTTCGAAGGGCAGTTCGCGGGTCCGGGCCTTGCGGGTCCGGGCCTTGCGGTTTTTCTTGTGCAAGGTTGTTCTGGGAGAACGCCCCTCACAATGGGCTCAGACCTTGGCCCTTGCAGAGTCGCATCACACAAATCGCGCGCAAGCAACAAAACAAAAACCAGGTAAGCTGTTCAAAAGCCCATTTTTCTGTTACTCTGTTGCCAGGACCCACGTCCTTCTTCCACTGCCTCCAGCCCTCAGGGCAGCCCCCTGGACTTCAACTTCTCGCCGCTCCCCGCCCCTTGCAAGCAAGGATCGCAGTTTGAGGCTTGTAAAAAGCCTAGATGATGGGACCCATGCATATGGTGGTTTACGATCTTGGAGCGGTACCTCCTTACTAGAAGGGAATCCTACTGAAAAAGAGCTTGAATAGCATCTTGAAAGCTGCATCCCAAGAGTCGCCAAGGTTCCGCAGGCCGTGGACATTCCTCCAATGCCGCCCATGCCGCCGCCGTCGCCGCCCTCGCAGCACCGCGATGTGCGGTCATAAAAATAAAAGCTGGGGCTTGCAGGCCTTGCGTTGGCTTTCTTCAAGGGATCCACAATCCAAGAACAGGAGCTCCAAGAAAGAGCTTGTGGGAGGCCTCGACGCTGCAAACCCCCGATGTTGACCTTAGACTTCAGAGCTATACCATGTTTCTATGCCGGGTAGATGCACAAGGCCTTCAACGATCTGCGCAGAAACATGTGAACACCCTATGGGCCTAAGGGGCCTACTTGAATCGACCCCACCCCAAGTTACCATGTGGACCCCTGCAGGCTCTGAAAGGCACGAAAAGCCCACAATTCCAGGACCGGCTTGTTCTTTGAGAGTTTGAGCCCCCCAAGAGAAAAGTAGAATGACGAGCATTCAACTCCCACCCCCACAAATTGCAGCAAGAACGGACCATGCGAAACAGCGCTTATAGTACTATTATTGGTGAGTGTATGTAGGGTTCCTTATACATTTTTGCTGATATATTATATTATATATATACATATATATATATATTATCTGTATATATATATACACATTTATATACGTAGTTATCCTTTTGGGGGATACTTGTAGTAGAAACCCTGCTCCAAGTGAAAGCCGGTGTTGGCTCCTGCTTTGCCGCGGGCTCAAACTGGGAACAGGTAGTAGTCGGCTTTCGTGTGCCATTCAGGCCATCTGCGATGACAGTTGAACGTCTTGAACTGAAGGGCTTCGCAGCTTTTGGTTGTGATGGTGTTTGCCCATTTGGATGCCTGGCCTTTGCTAGAGCTTGCAGCAAGTGTGAAGAGATTTGGTAAGCGCTTCGTGTTCAAGAATTCCCTTGAATGAAGGGCCGGAGCGTCGCAGTCTCAAATCCCTGGCTTCTCGGGATGTTGTGGGTATGGGTCTCTTTTTGGATCTGGAAGCCCTTGAGAAAATGAGCGGAGAGCCTCTGGAACCCAAGCCAGCCAAGGATTTTAGGGTTTGAGGTTTGGGGCTTTGTTTGGGGCAGTAAGCTTCTCGTCTCTCTAACTCTCCAAAGTCTTCTGTGGGTCTATCTGAGTCTATCTGATTCCTTTGCGTAGCGATTGGGGGCACTTAGGGCCTGCTGGGCATTCGAAAGAACCCAGAGGCTGGCACGAGCATGATGTCGTTCACAGAAACTTCGCAGCTGCTGCAGAAGGCGACCTTTGGGAATGCTTCTTCAAGCTGACTTGCTTAAGCCGTGTCGTCTAGCCATTTCAGAGAGTCCTGGTCTACGGTTGAGGGCTACAGTGTTGTGGTGTGAAGAGTTGCAACAGTGTTTCGGGTGAACCAGGTTCACAAATGTTGCACACTAGAGTTGGGATCTAGAAATACAAATGTATGTGAGTTGTGGTTCTTGGTTCGGCGCTCAGCCTAAAGTCCGAGCCGAAATCCAGCCGCACAATTCTTCACATTGGTTTGCAATTAGAATCTCTTCTCTGAAGAAGAAGGTCATGTCCCAAATTGGCATCAATGGGCTTCGACTCCGCCTAAAATCGCCGGGATCAGAGCAGTGCTAGGTGTTCGGGTGGGGCGCTGGAATTGGATAGTCCCGTAGTACCATCCGAGCCTTTGACGGGTTCTTCAAAATCCCACCCCCAGGCCTGCAGTTCTGGATTTAGGGGGCTTCTCCCACATCAGGAACTCATGAACGACTACAGCTATCGTCACCTGCTGAGCTTCTCCGTGGTCGGGGGGTGCTGGGATGGCGCAGGGTTCATGGCGAGTGTGGGCTCGTCATTGCCATGGCTCTGTGCTGTTTAGCCGTTTTGTTGAGGATTTCGCAAACTGCGGCACAAACAACGAAAGACATGTAGGACATGACAAAGGGTTAAGGCCCGTTTTTGGGGGAGCTCCTTCGAACTGCGCGACGCAAAAGAAAAGACAACGGCAATGGCATGCGCGTTCACGCTTTCTATGCAACAGGACGTCACGCCTGGAGAAGCCACTGCCATACATTCAAGATCAAAAGCTCGCATCTGATGCGTTGAGCATGTGACGGTGCTGGTACTAGCCCGAGCGTTCCGTGCAACTGCACAGGCCATAGGCCTCGACCTCGGGGCACGGATTAAGGGGCTCACGTTTAGGGACGTACGAAGTTCTGATTCTGCGGGCTTCGGGCTTGGAGGTTTGCATCCTTGCTCGTCCAACCTTGTTGCCGTGAAAGCCCGCGCCATATTCAAACCTTCACAGCATGCAAGCACATACCTATTAAATGGGGAGTCGGGTGGTGGCCCGGCCCTTAAGCAGTGTACTGTAGGTAGCAACTGCAGTCAACAAGCACTTGGCCTCCTGAGCTTTCCAAGGTTTAGGACGTTGGAGAGCTCAGGTGTGGATGGCATACCGCCTGGGATGAACGACTCCCAGTACGACTTCAGCCAGGTGCAGCGATGGCCTCAGACGTTCAGGCTTGATTTGCTCAGGATTCAAGTTCAAGAGCAATTTCATGGCATAAGGGTTCAGGGTTTGGGGTTTGGGGTTTAGGGTTAGGGTTTAAGCTATTGCTTGGGATGCTTGAGGGCTGCCAAGGTCCCGTGGTTGTTGGGCTTTTGGGAGGAGATTAAGTCTTGCAGGTGTTTTGGGCTCGCTTGCTGGACCATGGCAGTTCGATTCAAAAAAAAGCTGCGTTATAGCTTGTTCGTTTGGGGATGTCAAGAGGTTTGTTTCGAGTCGAGTATCTTTTGGTCCTGGAGTTTCGCAATGTGTGCAGAGGTAGAGCAGTGTTTCTGTTTTTTGAACACTTAGCACGAACATCTTGCTGAGATGGTATGATCGTCTTTTTCTGCTGTAGCGCGTGAGTTGTGTTTCGCAATAGGTGCTGGGGAGAAGTCCGTACCTGCACCAAACCTTGATGTTAGTGGCTTGTCGTTCTTATCCCACCCCAGAGGTGCAGAAGACTACATGGACGGTGGGACTGCAGTAGGTTCTATACTTGGGAACTCCCCCCCAAAAAAAGACAATAATCCCTCTGTTACCCTTATAAGGAAGCAAATTCTATGCCTTTCTGAAGACATCATAGAGGCACTGTTTGGGGCGCATAAGGGTATTCTGACCCGCCCTGAATCTACGTAATCTTGCTGTCGAGATACTGAAGTTTCCGTCGGGTTAAGGGTTCAGTCTTACACCCTAAACCCTAAACCCTAAAGCCTAAATTTGAAGCCCCGAGGTCACACCCTCCTCCCAGTGCCTACATGCAGCGAACCGCTGCGGCAGGCGCCTTTAACTTCAGGCTGAACCTTACTAGTGAATCGCTCAGGCAAAGCACAAAGTCCAGGCCCTAACCTGCAAGAAGCTCTCGAACTTTTGAACCCGGACCTGAAGAAACAGAATCCAGCTACACCCAGTTTGTGTAGTTTCTGCTACACGATAAACAGGTTGAGGGGCCTGGTACAACAAGCTGCTGTTGGGGATGCTGGCTTTGGCTGGAAAGGGGGTGGGGGGTGGTTGGTGGTGAGTCTTCGGGTTCATGAAGGTCAGAAGGTGCCTGCAAAATAGCTTGGGTTGCGCTTCGGGGTGTTTTGCAAGCCTTCTGGTCCTGTCCCGGGTCCCCCCAAAACTCCCAAAAACACCTTTAGGACGTGGAGGTGTCTCTTGAACCACGAGAAAGGCTCTTTGTAGAGCCCAGCCTTAACAACGAAGCTCTCAAATCCTAAGCATCCCACCAACCCAACCTGCAGTGCAACCACTGGAGACCCTGAAGCCTCCTGCAAGGCGGCAGAGTGTCTGCCATGCCTCAGAGTAGAGCCAATGGTGTGGGCCTGAGAGGTTACAGCAGGCTAGTGGCTGGGCACTGTCAGTTTGCCTCGGTCTGTGTCAGAACGTCCGCTTCGAGGTTTGAACCCTCAAACTGAAGCTTCGAGGCATCAGAGTTCCTACCTGAGCCTTTGTCTTACCCCGGAAGTGTTATACAATAACCTCACGCAGCCTATAGCTCCAAACCCTAAACCCCAAACCCCAAACCCTAAACCCTCCAGCCCTAAACCCCTGCCACCCAGGCTTCGGGCGCAACACAGAGACAGCGCGTCCCATGACCTCCAACCGGGCAGCACCGGCCCCAAAGATCGAAGGCCCTAAACTCTTAGGGTTTTAGGGTTTAGGGTTAAACCCTAAACCCTGAACCGGGGGTTATTTGGGGGGTTCAGGGGGTTTAGGCGGTTGTGTGGTGTGATTTGAGCGCCTAGGCTCCAATGTTTCCAGCTTCGGGGTCGGAACACCTGAGAAACACGCACTTACCGCGCAGCACCTAAATCCCAAACATCCCCAAACCTTAGCCGCACACCGCCAAGCCTTCAATAGCAATACCTAAGGGGTTTGCTGATGCATGTTTTCAATTTCAGGCTTTTGTTGGGGTTGAAGGGTACTGCAAGAGTCTTGCTGCTCAATCTTGCATCATCCGCAGGGCTGCGTGCAGAATATGGCGTAGGCATTAAACAGGACTCCGCATCGAAGTCCCCCAAACCCAAGTCCTAAAGTTGAAGCCCTCGCAAAACCGGACCCCAAATTTCCTGAAGCTAGTCCCAAAGCATCCGGCTACTTAAACAGACTGTAGCACCTGAGCGGATAAAAACCCACAGTCCTCAAGGCTGGTTACACTGCTGCCGGCAAAGCGGGGGGCGGCAAGGCCGCCCCAAGTGGCCGAAACCCTAAAGTCTCTTAGAACCTGAAACTGCCGCTTTCCGTTGGCGACCGAAGAGACGTTGAGGGTTTGAGGCCTTGGGGTTTGGGGTGCTTCAGGTAAGGGCGTGCAGAGTTAGGTTCAAGCTTTCAGGGGTTTCGGGCAGCAACTCCTTTAAGTCTAAGCTACCCCTAGCCCTTGGCCTTATAGTCCAAGATTACACTGCGTCTTGAGGTGTTTGTCGGGTTTTTTCACGTTTGGGTTTAGAATGGCACTGTGAAGAGTCTGAGTTGAGAGACCCGCCCCATTCCCGACAACCAATCCCGGCAAGACAGAACACTGAAACCTGAAAAATCTGAAGAACCCACGGGGTCACTACTCACACCGGAAGCAGAAACTTCAGGAAGCTACCCGATTCAGGAAACTGGCCTCACACGATTCGGCAATTGCCCCGATTCAGAAAGCCATACGATTCAGGGGTGGGGGCCGGGGGGGCTGAATCTGCGGTTTCCAGTTTCCCGAGTCCGTGTTTCTTCAGTTTCCCGCGGCGGGCCCTGAGTGCTTTAATGCGGAGCCAGAACTTAAGGCATGCTTCACGGAGGCCGGGCTCCCATCTTTAGGGTTTAAAGGTTCAGGAAGTTCAGGGCCCCCCTCCCTTCATCCCTTCATCCCTTCCACGCCTTGGGTGTGCAGGTGTTCGATCCTCTAAATCAGGGGGACAAGGGCGCCGCCAAGCCGCTGGAAAAGAAGCCGTGAGCTGAGAGGGAGTTGAGAGAGAGTGCATGCCGGTGCCTTGAAAAGTTCTCGAAACTTCTGGTGTCAGGATTCTGTTTGAGAGAAACATGAAGAATTAGAAGAACTTGTATCTAACTTTGTTTATTGTGAGTAACAAGCTAGGCAAAACAGCGTTCGATGTCCCAGCCACATTTGTATTTCTTATTTTTGTTATAATATATATATATATATGCTCGCCCCCCCCCCCCCCCATGATCCACACATTTGGCCTCGGGAAGGGGGTTTTGGGAGGGGGGGCGGACTCCAGACTCCAGATTTCCAGAAAAAATCTGGAGTACCCGGGCCCCGGACTCCAGACTCCAGATTTCCAGAAAAAATCTGGAGTACCCGGGCCCCGGACTCCAGATTCCAGATTTCCAGAAAAATCTGGAGTACCGGGGCCCCAGACTCCAGACTCCAGATTTCCAGAAAAAATCTGGAGTACCGGGACTCTGGACTCCAGATTCTGGAGTCTGTAATCTGGAGTCTGGGGCCGCGAGTACTCCAGATTTTTTCTGGAAATCTGGAGTCTGGAGTCTGGGACCCCGGTACTCCAGATTTTTTCTGGAAATCTGGAGTCTGGAGTCTGGGGGTACGGAAATCTGGAGTCTGGAGTCTGGGGGTACTCCAGATTTTTTCTGGAAATCTGGAGTCTGGAGTCCGGGGCCCGGGTACTCCAGATTTTTTCTGGAAATCTGGAGTCTGGAGTCCGGGGCCCCGGTACTCCAGAATTTTTCTGGAAATCTGGAGTCTGGAGTCCGGGGCCCGGGTACTCCAGATTTTTTCTGGAAATCTGGAGTCTGGAGTCCGGGGCTGGGTTCTCCAGATTTTTTCTGGAAGTCTAGTGTTTAGGGTTTAGTGTGTAGGTTTCAGGGTTTAGTGTTTTGTGTTTAGGGTTGAGTGTTAAGTTTAGGGTTTAGGGGTTAGGGTCAAGCGGCTCGGGTAAAACCCCAAAAAACCCCTAAACTCTGAAACCCAAACAGTAAGCATCTGAAACCCCGACGGGTTTTTGGTTTCAGGTTTAGATTTAGTAGGGCTCGAGGTTCCGGCTTTGGGGTTTACTGTTTAGGGTTTAGGGATTAGTGTTCAGGGTTTAGTGTCTACTGTTTAGGGCTTAGTTTGAAATGTTTAAGGTTTCTGGGTTAAGTGCTTAAGTGTTTAGGGTTTCGTGCTAAGTGTTTGGGGTTTGTGCTAAGGGCTTAGTGTTAAGTTTTTAGGGTTAGTGTTTAGGGTTTAGTGTTAAGGGTTTCGGGTTTGGTTTTTTAGGGTTAAGGGTTTTAAGGGTTTTTACAAATTTAAATGATCTGGGGAAGCCGGGGCTTCCCCAGACCATTGACAACTTGAAAATCCTTCTGTTTAGGGTTTAGGGTTTAGTTGTCAGGGTTTAGTGTGTAGGGTTTGGTGTGTAATGTTTAGGGTTTAGTTTTTAGGGTGTAGTGTTTAAGTGTTTAGGGTTTAGTGTTTAGCAAGGGATTAGTGCTTAAGTGTTTAGGGTTTCGTGTTCAGTGTTTGGGGTTTGTGCTAAGGGCTTAGTGTTAAGTTTTTAGGGTTAGTGTTTAGGGTCTGGTGCTGAGTTTTTAGGGTTTAGTAGTGTTAAGGGTTTCGGGTTTGTTTTTTTGGATTCAGGGCGTTAAGATTTTTACTAGTGTTCAGGGTTTAGTGTGTAGGGTTAGTGTGTAGGGTTTAGTGTGTACTGTTTAGGGTTTAGTTTTTAGGGTTTAGTTTTTAGGGTGTAGTGTTTAAGTGTTTAGGGTTTAGTGTTTAGGGTCTAGTGCTTAATTAAGTGTTTAGGGTTTCATGTTAAGTGTTTGGGGTTTGTGCTAAGGGCTTAGTGTTAAGTTTGTAGGGTTAGTGTTGAGGGTTTCTACGGGCTTAGTGTTAAGTTTTTAGGGTTAAGGGTTTAAGGGTTTTTGCAAGTTTACATGATCTGGGGAAGGCACTGGGGCTTCCCCAGACCATCAAAACCTTGAAAATCCTTAAAATCTTATAAAAATCTTTAAGCTTCTGTTTAAACATTCTCAGGATTATGAAGGTTTTAAGCCTTTTAAGCCTTTTAAAGACCTTAAATTGCTTACGTATTTAAGTGGCTGCTCTTTGCGGGTTTTAGAGATTTTTGAAGTTGCCAATGGTCTGGAGAAGCCCCGGTGCCTTCCCCAGACCATATAAATTTTTACAAATCCGTAAAACCCTGAAATTCTTGCAGTTGTAAATGGCTGTCCTTTTGAAGTTTAAAGTTTTTAGGATGTTCAATTCCAAAATCCGTAACTTCCCTAATTTTAATCGGCTGCCCGTTTTTGTTTTTTTCCTTTTAAGGAAGTTTAGACTTTTAAGGGATAAACGTTTCGAGGTTTTTTAGGGCTTTAAAGCCTTTTAAGATCCTTTAAATCTTGAAAATTTTGAAAGGCTTTAAATACCTTAAAGCCCTTCAAATTTGAAAAGGGCTGCCCCTTTTAAGGATTGCAAATGGTCTGGGGAAGCCCCGGCGCCTTCCACAGATCATCTAGGTTTTATAAACCCCGAAAACCCTGAAAAGCCTTAAACTTCTAAATGGCTGCCCTTCTAAAATTTTATGGGGCCGCAAGACACAAGTTTCAGAAGCAAAATGCACATAAAAACACTAGTGTTTTTCTAGAGGATAATATAATAGAGCTTTTGTATTCCATACTGCATTTTTCCGAGGAAAAAGCAGAAAATCAGACAAAGACGAAGACAAGAAAACCATAGGTGTGGATCATGGGGGGGGGCTGACCATATATATATATACACATACATACATCATATCATACATATATAGTCCGCAAATCCCAAGCCTCACTTTTTCCAGAAGCTTCCGGATTTGTCAAGGGGGCGTCGGGGTGAATAAGAGGGTTGGGGTTGATGATGCCGGGCTCAGACGTCGAATTCCTCGAGCAAGCGCTTCGTCAAGGGACTTTTTCCTTGGGCCCCCTAAGGTGGTAGTACATATTCTGTTAAGGGAAACCTTCAGGGCCACAACCTTCGGGGTACGAGTTTTACAGACCCCGAAGGTGGTATGTATTCTATTCAGGGAAACCTTTAGGGGTACAACCTTAGGGGTACGAGCCCTTAAACCCCCTAATACCTCTATGGGACCACGTGACGTGCAAAGGACCGAGCTGTCTCCAGAGGAAAAGCTCCGGGAAATGGAGAAGGAGATTCACCGGTCCGCGAGCTGAATAAGATGCTCTATTGTAGAACAAGACCATAATAACAACATAATGTAATATCATACTGCAATGGTTTTTTATCATGGTATACTACCAGAATAATCTGATAATCTGAGAAAATAGTATTTGTAATAATACAACCGTACAAAATTCTACCGTTTCATCATACAAATAGTATACTAGTATATATCTATATACAGATAGATAGATACATTTGTATTTCAGCTGAGCATGAATTCTTGTGTTCATTCTGGTTGGAGGTACGATGGTGCTAGTTAGCTGCTGTTAGTTTGGGGTTGGATAGATTTCCTTCTGATTCTTGTACAAGAGGTATCTCGAGCAGCGTTCTTGAACCGAGACCGTCCCACAATCCTTCTGCTAGGTTTGACAGACGCGGGTAGGAACCCTAGGCTGGTATCTGCAAACCCTTGAACCATTCTGTACCCCAAACCGAATTCCTTCTCCGAAAGCTCATCTCCTGCATGCCCCCCAAACACATGGAAGCCATAAACATGGCCCCAAGTCAATGACTCACTAGGCATTGAAGACACCATCAGATAGCGTCGATCCCTGGTCGGCCGTGCAGGGTATAAGGCCTCAGGGCCATAGGGCCTTCGGGCAGCAGGGATGCTCTAACAGCTGCCAAAAATTGACCCAAACAAAATCAGTGTCCACGCTTGGACCCAAACCTGGTCCCTACGCCCTAAGCTATTCAGCCAGTCGAGCAGAAGTTTCCTGCTACCCGATCATTTTCGGGGCAGCCGTCCAGCTTGAAGACCAAGCGCCCAATGGCCAAAGGGCTCATCATCCCGGCAAGATCTTTCGTACCTGTTTCATCCCTCAGAGCACGGCAACACAATTACCACAAGGCCCAAGCCCTGCACCTTGGAAGCCTTGAATCACCTCAATTCTGACAAGGCCATTGAACCATAACCCCGCACCCATCAACAGCAGCAGACGGCTAGGAACGTAGAAACTGCAAGAGCTTTTAGGCCATGCAGCAGCCTTCATGCTCTTGTACCCCCTGGGCTCTTACAGTCCCTCCCAAAACTCAAAGAGCAAAGGTTGGTCGAAGAGAGCGCGATAACCCGAGAACGTGGGAATCTGCCCCTTGCTGAGCCTTTTGGGGGCCTGAAGGGGTTTTCTTGGGTTCGTCTTAAGGGTTGTTCGCGGGTTGTTCATATGGGTTTTCTTGGGTTTTGAGTGAAGGTCCTGGTTCTGGTCGCCATGGTGTGCTCAGGGTTCTGGGAGCGGCTCAGACTGCAGTTCGGAAGTCAAGAGGGCCCTCAGAGGGCCTGTCAGTACTTGTAGTGACCTTGCCCACCTCGCCCCGCAAAGCACGAGCTGCTTGCGCGTGCAGAGTTCTGTGGCTTTTAGGTGCTTCAGAGCTAGTGTCCTGTTTTTTCAAGAGCATGGCAGCATCAACATGGAAGTCTCCTGCAATCTGAAGCTCGATGATTTCAGAATCTGAGTCCTAAGCCGATGCAAGGCTAAGTTGAAGTCAGTTATGCCGTGCTAAGACCCAGGAATGTGACAAAGTGACAAAGTGCGGCTGAGAATTTTCTGGAATCCCATGGAACCCAAATCCCAAAAGGTCCCAAGCAGGACTCTGGAGCTAACAAGCCCCTGAAACCCGACCACCTCGACATCTGAGATCCCTAAAATTGATATTCGTGTCTGTATATGAAAATACATGCAGCGGCCCTCACCCTAAACCCTGAAACCCCAAATGCTTAACCCCCCCCCCCCCCCCCCCTCCCCCCCGGCCCCACTCCCTCATCCTCATGAGGGAAGGAAGGGGGCTACTTTTTGCTGACATACATCTGTAACCTGTGCGCATCCTGTCTTTTCCAGGGTCCCTTGCCTCCCAAAAGACCTGCGGGCAAGCCTAAACCAAGCCTCACCAGATACTGAGGCGTGAAGCATTAGAGAAAGGAAAGGAGGCGGGCAAGAAGGCCCGTTCGGTTCTTCAAGATGGTTTAAGGTTCAGGTTCAATGTGAAGACTGTTTAGGAGCTGCAGGCAGAACTGCATGTTAACGTGGCAAGTTTTATCGACAGAGACATGGCGAGGGCTGCAAGCAGGTCTTGCAGGGTCGTCAGTTTGAAGACGCCAGGATGTTGGGATGCATTGTTGAGGTAAGCTTCGTTTTTAGAATCTGAAGCCTTCTCCCGTAGACCTCTTGTTTTGGAAATGCCTCTGGATCCCGATTCTGCATGCTCATATCTTATTGTAGACAAAACCGGGGCATGCCTCGAAACCCCAAACCCTAAGCCCTATAAGCCCTAAGCCCTAAACCCTAAACACTACGGTGCAGGAGAGGCAACTCTGTAGATTACGCGAGCAGCAAAACTTGCTGGACCAGCTGAATGCCGCAGCCCAAGGGAGGAGTCGAGAAGCTTATGGAGTTCCTGTTTGGTAAACAGGTGATGCCTTGGTTTGTGTTCCTTTGGGTGTTCGGGGGATAAGGCCCGAGGCCTTTCTTGGTTTAAGTGCCATGAACTCTAACCGTCGCCTCGTGCGTATTAGTTTTGTTGGACTCTGTTCCTACGTCTGCGTGCGCCTGCGGGGGGTTGCGGTGCCGTGCCGCGCTGTGCCGCGCAATGCAAGTGTGCGCGGGTTCGTGCACGCCCGTTTGCGAAGGTTTTTTCTCACAAAGGTTTTTCTCGTGCAGGGGCCACACGCCTGTCATCAGAGCTGCGGCCACCGAAGACCTTTGATGACAGGGGCCCTCGTACTGCAGGAGCTACGGCTTGAACCCAGTCTGAGACCAAAAGCTCAAAACCGTTACACACAGGGGGAGAGCCGCATTCAGCGAATGCTCACCGAACCTAAGGCTTCAGGAAATGTAGAACATGGATCCCGAATCCTGTAGCCGAACTTTAGAACCCCAACCCCATCGTGATGGGGTTTGGAATGTCCGTGGTTCGGATTTACGGCTTCGAAGTGTTTAGATTCCGAGCTTAGATCTGAGGTTCTCCGCTTTCGGCAAACCGACTCAAGACTCAAGAACGCTCTTTCCAGGTAGACCTCACCTACGCCGTTTGCCTGAACCTGGCCATCCAGCACCAGGCGAATGACAACGACAACGAGGCAAGGGCCTTTGTTTCCATGCTTCACTAAAGGGGGGTCATGCTCGAGTGATCCGGCTTCCGGGCACTCCACGTGTTCTCACCTTTCGTCGACAGCCTTGAGCGCGCGGCAACGTGCTCCACAGCGGGAGCCGTTGCAACTGCCAGAATACCAGAAGCATGAGCCCAAAGCTGGACATGTAACCTCAAAGCGAATCCTTAACCTTCGACCCCCCAAGCCCATCTAGAGGTTTTGACTAATTTGACTAAGAACGCAAAGAGCCGGGAAAACATCTTTTCACAGCAAGGTATGATTTTGTAGCTGGTTAAGCAAAAGCATCACAAGTACTTCGGCAGCGCAAAGCCCAATCACCAAAACAGGGGCAGAGTCATCAGTTGACGAAAGCTGTGTAACCAGCCTGGTGGCAACATTCCGCTCGTTTTGCTTTCATGAATTAGGGTCTTAAGTTTGCTGTTATGAATTAGGGTCTTAAGTGTTCAATGCAAGCCGTGGCTCTTATTCCTGAGGCGTTGACAATCTACACGCAGATCGTCAAGAACAAGCAGTATCCGTTCAGCGGTCGATTTCGTGTGAACATGGGCAACATCTACTTCAAGCAGGAGAAGTGGACAGCTGCCATCAAGATGCGATTGCCTCAGAGCGGACGGCAAGCCCCCAACAAAGTGTCGGCATTTGGAGGGGATTTCACAAAGCCAGGGCTTGCATGGGGTTTTCTGTTCTACTCTCTTTCAGACGCTTCGGGGGCTGGTTATTGTGAAGGCTAGGGCGGTGTAGGATGGCTTCGGGTTGATTGGTCTAGTGAGGGGTTCTGGCGGAAGCTTGCTTCAAGCTTTCAACTTTTTGCCTTAGTTTTTTCAGTGATGAGGCATAGGAGGGCTCTAGCTGCAAAGAGGTTTCGGGGCCCGCCGAGGTACCGAATGGCGCTAGACCAGATTCCGAACAATGTGCAGGCCCGACCGGCGCTACGCATGTCAGCTATGACTATCGGCTTCAGGTGCTTCAGCTTAGTCTAACGAATGTGCTCAACAGCTTGTAATCCGAAGTCCACAGTCCTAAGTTCGGTAGCACCACGGCCTGGACATAGAGCTGCAAAACAGCGACCTTTCAGAGTTCACGGTGGGGCAGAAGGGGTGGGGGGTTCTGCCTCTTTAACAGTTCTCAGTGAAGAAGCAGGATTGTTGAGTTTGTGGTTCATGGTTGCTGCAGGTTTGATGGTCGTCCCGACTTCTTTTGTGGTCGGCATGAGTGGGGAGACTAGGTGGCGTAGCCTTTGGAAGTTCTGTTGCGCAGGCCATCCGCTTCAAGATCATGCGAAACATCGGCCCAGCACCCAGGTCAAGCTTCAACATGAAGCATCCCCCAAAGCCGAAGAAGAAACCACCCCCACCAGCCGACATGTCCATGCAAGCTCTACGGCGCCCTAAACCTCTGGCTCAGGGCCAGGCCTGGCTTCTTAAGGCTTGTGAATTTCATTGACGTTTTAGGGGCTTAGATGTTCAGTGCACCCGTTACTGGACATCTGCCAGCGCCCTTCGCTCCCAGGCTCACCCCACGAGCCTGCCCCTTTCATTTTGAGGCTCTCTTTTTCCCCTTCCTTCCCCTCGTTCCATGTCTCCCTGCATCCTACGTCTATGTCTTGCTCTCTCTCTCTCTCTCTCTCTCTCTCTCCCTCTCTCTGTCATTCTCCTTCTCATGTGCCATCCGCTTTTGCGGTCGGTCCAATACTGTATCAGTCAGATGCCTTCTACCACAGGAATGACGTTGTGGGGCAACCCAAACTCACGAGCGAACTGCTTGGACCCTTGGATCAAAACGATGAACGAAGTCTCAGAAACTCAGCCTGTCCCTTGGTGGTTGGATATCAACTTTTTTCACACAGGTAGCCAAGAAACAGAAAACAGAGCGGACAGGTTTGGTTTTCGAGACGACCAGTTCTCTGGTCGCTTGGTGTGTCATAGTTCTCACGCCTAGTCAGTCGAAACACCAGACAGCAGAGGGAGCCCGGGAAGATTTCTTCTGGCACTCGTAAGGCAGACGCGGGGAAGCAAGCTCTATTAACCACCCACACCGACTCCACATGAACTGAGACAAGGGCAGGCGAAATGGGGGTTGCATGAACAAACCTACCACTATCTCTCAGCCCCCAATCATTCTACTCTTGTTTGTTCTTGAAAGCCAGAACTTGACATGCCAAACGCATCCTCAACCCCAATCCCTAGGCAGGCCCTTGGTCTATTTTGTATTTTCCCTTGTTGGGTTTGAAGAGGATCATATCTAAGAACACAGGGGTTGTAAGGGCCATCCTAGATCCTGGCCTCAAGCCCCCAATTTTCTGAGGCCACGCCTTCTTCAAGATGCACCAGTTTCCGGATGCCATCGACTCGCCGACACCCTAACACCACAAGAGCGCACGCTTGGGATCGCGCGAGGGGTCGAGTGTTGGAGTTTGGTGGGAGGTTGCGCGAGTGATGCGCATGTGTGTTTATTTATTTTATTTTATTTATTTATTTTTTTTTTTCTTGGGGGGGGGGGGGGGGGTGTTTGCGGTTAGGGGTGGTTAGGGGATGTTAGGGGGTGTTTAGCCTTGCTTAAGGACTGAAATTGAGGTGGCAGACCCCTGGGCTGCTCGATGCTGTTGCAGGGTTGTTCAATCTCCACTTACCTTGGTAGCCCAGTGATAGCCTTTTGCCCGTTTTGTTGGTTCAAGGTGCCCTTACAAAGTAACCAACCCCAAAGAGTGTACCCTTGTTATAATATGGTTACTGAGCTACCAAGTTGCAGATTTGCGGTAGGGATTGCTTGACTTGTGCCCGTAGCCGTAGCCTCGGTGTTAAAAAGGGTTTGTCAGTGACTGTCGGCCATGGCCAAACATCTTGGCCTAAATCTCGCAAGCCTCCCAAACACAAAAGTTTGTGGAAACATGTGATCAACTCCAAAGGCATACATCCACAAGCTCCATGCGGGCCCTAAACTCAGGTATGAGAACTTGCTGATGCACGGCGCGCAGCACTTGGACTTCATGACGGGTCCGGGACTCAAGAACGCTGCGCCGTTGCTGCGAATGCTCGAAGTTTTCTTGGCATTGGGCCCGGGCTCAGAAATTTTACGATGTTTCGGGCTTAGAGTTTAGGGGTTTAGGGGTTTTGCGGCTCCGGGCAGCTTCAGGGTCAATTGGATTTAGAGGGGGCATGGACCCTTTCGAAAGGCCCCTCGGGCTTTCGGTTAAGAGTCTTACGGGCGGCGTTGTAGGTTGTGATGCTAAACGGGCTGTGCAGCCCAGAGTCGGCAATGAATTCTCGTGGGACAGGGTTGAGAGGGTAGTGAGTGGGGGCACCATGCAGAGCTACCGCTGCCGCAGAAAGGGCACTTGGCCAGCACAGGTTTCAACTTGATCCTCTGCTACTACGCTCTTGGTGACAAGGACCCATGGCAGCAGACGGCTGGTGATGAGTGGTACGCGTGACAGGGGGCGCTTCAATGGCCCTCTGTGCCAATTCCTGTTACCCAAATCCACCAAACCTCACCCATGACTTGGCATCAAAACCCACCCATTGCACCCCAAAGCTAGCGGAAGAGTGCTGGAAGTTTGAGGTAGCCGGGTCAAAGTGGAAGAAAGCGGTATTGGGATTTGTGTGGGGGGACAGGTGGGGTCCCAAAGTAGTGCAACGTGGTATCCTTTCCCTGTTTTGGGGCTGGGGCTCTCTATACATCGCATTGCGTTGGATATTGTGAGACGCAGCAGGTTCTGAACCATAAGCCCAACGCTACCCAACACCCTATGCCGGAACTCGCAATGCAGCGAGGACAAGATGAAGAGTGGCTTTCTGAAACTGCCGGGGCCCAGCAAGTGGATCAGGTTTGCCTTTTGAGGCATTGTTTAAGGTATTTGCTCATGGTACTGTAGGCTTCGTTGTTTTGAGAGGTTCTTCTACTGTGCTTCTGTGTTCCAATTTTCCGAGTGGGTCAGGGAGGTGATGGGGGGGACATGATAGGCTTCTCATCAAGCACCTTTTTCCCGGAAGGGAAAAGCTGCTCAGGCCCCAAATGCGGGGATTTCAGCTCTTCTGGTCAAATCTCTTGAGGCTAAGTTGTCCTGAGAAAACTCGCAAAGGCCACTGCAACTGAAGTTGCTTCTCCATCCCCAGGCTGAACATTGAGCAAGTCGGCCTGGAGGACTTCGACGAAGAGGAGGAGTGTTAACCAAGAACCCACCACCCATATCAACCGAACTTAGGTTGCGGTTTAGGGTTTCTTAAGCATCCTTATTCCTCCTCCCAAGACACTAAATCGCCGCAGCCAGCGTGCAGACTTGCTGCTCCAGCTTTCTGAGAGCACCATTGTCGGCCCCTCTTGGTATAGCTTGATATGGTGACAGATTCAAAGGCTTGGGTTTAGTGTTTCGGGCTCAACTGAGGATTTTGAGGTTTTCAGGGTTCACTGGCCTTGGAGAGCATAGATCCAAACCCCAAGACCCCAAAGAAGCAGACCCGCAGCCGTGCAGGAGATCGAGCTTGGTCAAACCGAGCAGCAGAAGCAGGACCTGCCTTTGCACCCAATTTGACCCTCACCCCCGGTCATTTCTTGGAGTTTAGGGCGACCTTCCTGCAACAAGTGGATTGGTTTCGAGCGGAGGTTGAGTACATAAACGTGCTGGGCTTTCTATGACGGCCACTAGTATGGAGTTCCAGAGCATGTGTGCATTGGCAGTTGCGCCCTTGAGAAGGGGTGGGCAACTGCCGTTGTTGAGAATCTTGAAGGCTAAGCCCGACTTGACCCACTCAGCGTACAAGCATTCAACACAAAATCGCTAAGCCTGCAATACCCCGCAGCAAACATGATTGCGCCTCCAGGAACCCTGTACACTCTGGAAGCTAATTCCGTGCACGCGGGGCCTAGTACCCAAAGTACGTACGAGGGCAACGGGTGCATGTACAGAATGAATTTGGAAACCCAAAGCAGAAGCTGCCATGGTTTTGCAGTATGGTTCCGGGCTAGATTGTTGGCCTTGATTAGTTGGAGTGGCGCCTTTTTGTCCGGGGCTCGTTTAGGTGGGGGTCGGGCAACAGAAAGACAGGAAGAAAGAAAGGGACACATGATAGAAAGATGCATTAACCCAGCTGTGCAACCCCATGGCCAGCAAGACAGAGATGATCAAGTTCCGTTGCGTCCCGTTCCGTGACAACTCGCCCCCCGCCTCTACCCCCCGCCTCTGCAGATAGAAACCCAACCCTTCGGTTGTTGGGAAGAAAACCACAAAGAAAATGACATGTCAGACTAGAACTTGAGAAAGACGGAACCGAAAACATGCACAGTACGACAGACCAACAGAAGCGCAGCACAGAAGAACATAGTGAGTACGACAATCACCAGTATATCAGTAAGACCTGAAGAGCAGACCTAGGATTATCGGTGCCAGTACTCTTGCCGTTACTCGAAAAGTTAGGGTTTAGGGTTCAGGCTTTAGGGTTTAGAGGTTAGGGTTTACTAGTACTTTTACGACTCAATTTCACTTTATGAACTTTCCAAACCAGGCACACGAGCATTCCAAGAAGTGTCCGCATGAGTGTTTTAGAACGAATATCAGTAGCAATATCAGCATCAGTCACCCCTGCACTGTGAAAGGAGAGCGCCACTCGGAACCTCACCGAGGGCGACGATGCGCTGCGTGAGGCAGGGAGTAGCTTTGCAGATCCAAAGCTCCTAGAACCCAGACATTGCTCAATCCCGCCTCAAGCCCATCACACATCTGAAAGGTTCCTCGATGCCTTGTAATCGCCCCAAACACGCACACATGAGCTGTGGCTGCCCCCAAAGCAGGCTCAACAGAAGCTTGGAAGACTGAATACACGAAGCACCGACATTACCTCAACCAAGCCCCTTTGTGTGCACCTGACGCACCCCCAAGCAATGAAAACCGAAATCTTGTGGCTGTAGGATCAGCCTCCGAAGCCCAAATGGCCGAAATTTTGAACAAGAAGCCCTGCCACTCTCACGACCCTGTTTTAAAGTCCTAGTTGCTGAGGACATCAAGCGACGCCAGAGGGAGGCAGCCAGGTTCATCGTCAACGCCGCCACTCAGCTGAGCAGCCCTTTTTTAAAGAGTTCAAAAAAAGAGCATGCCCAGAAGGCCCCAAGAAGCACCCCCAAACCCTAAACCCTACAGCTGAGGCCAACCTCATCGCTCCAGTTCCTTGGCCTGTTTCTGTTGGATGCCATTGGATGCTGCGTTTGGGGTTGGGATTCAGGGCTTCGAACTTCGGAGTTTTATTCTAAAGGGTTGAGGGCGTTCACGGAGCATTCTGAGGAGATGGTGCTATGGTTTTCAAACCGAGGAGACGAATTCTTCTCTTGTCAGGGCATTTGGTAGGTTGAAGCGGTTGAAGGCATACATTTTGTGCGCCCGGCAGGTCATCGAGAAGACGGAAGTTGCAGGCTTCGACTGGGTCGGAGGCTTGGGAAGGCAGATTTGAGTTTAGGGCACGCTCATGCGCCGCCCTACACCTGAAACCACAGGGAGGAGGAAAGAAGAGAGCACCCCCCGGGCTCAACCTGAACGACCATGCATCATCTTACTCCGCCATGTTCTTGAATGCCCTCAGCCTTGAGGTGACGTTTAGCGGTTGGGAGCTGAACTCCCGAAACAGAATTTCTTAACAGCCCGGTGGCCCACCACATCCCGGGAGAAAGGCTGCCGCAGCCTTTTGGCGGCCTTCTGCAAGTGTCGGTGGTCCTCAGGCCATCGTGGCAGAAAGATGAAAAGCAAGCTGGCCTTCTTCCGGATCTCCCCCCCGACATTTCTTCACATTTCTCATGGTACTCGTGCATACTCGTGCCAAAAGCAAAACAGCCTTTTTCCGTAGCGCCGGATCGCCAAGTAAAGCTGTCCCTACACTCTGGGTAACCCAATGGTGCCCTTTTCCGGTTTTTTGGTTCAAGGTTCTCTGATAAAGTAACCAACTTAGGATGTTCCCCCCTTTACTAGCAGTCCTGAATAGGGAACATAATAGGAGGCACTATAATCCCCATTAAGGACGGTTAGTACAAGCGGGAACATCCCAACAACGAAGCCGCAAAAGAGTGCGCTTGTCATGAGATGGTTACTGCGCACTGTACCGAGGTCATCGACTCACTGAACCACCATGGCTTCCCCCGGATCGGTTCGGAGCTGGAGATTGCCAAGCGAGGGCCTTGGGGTTTAGGGTTTTGGGTTTAGGGTTTAGGGTCTTCGGTGCCCCCTCGGATGCTGGAATCCTGTTCCAGGGCATCTCCCCTTATTTCCGCCCGCAGGCGATTGACATCCCTGAACTCAGGCCGTAAAGTTCCTCAGGCCTTTGCTGCCTCCTGAAAAAGGCAGCCCCTTACGACTCTAGAGGCAGGTGCCAGTCCGCTCATGCGGAGGGGGGGTGGGCGGGCTTGCCTTGCGCCATATACCACCATGGAGTTCAGCGGTTTTGGGTGACATGCCCGAGTCCCCTGATCCTTCTTTTCTTCGAGAAACCTCAGCTGTTGAACCCCAAACCCTCAAGCCCCAAATCCTAAACCTTAAATCCTAAACCCTAATCCCTGCCTTTAGAGCCCATCTCCGAGGAGCTAAACCCCAAACCTTCAACCCTATGCCCTAAACCCTAAAGCCCAGGTCTTGCTTCTTCCTGCGGCGCAAGGAGTTTGATCAGGCCATTCAGGTGCTTGGGCGCTGCGGCGTTTGCATCTGAAGGGGCTCTCAACAATTGCTACCACAAGCTACTAATTGCTTAAGAACCCCCAAAAAACACAAAAACTATTCCTTATTAAGGGCAATATAGGGAGTATTGTTTTTACTCTTTTGGTGTTCTTAAGCAATTAGCAGGAAGCGGCCACAAGTCTACTCGTCTCGCGAGTTTAGGGTTTAGGGTTTAGGGACCTGACTGCAGGTTTTAGGGATCGGCGATGTGTTCCTCCACTTCTAGAGGAAACCTGCCCACAAGTTCGGGGTTTCGGGCTCTGCGGTCCTGACGAGCCAGTCGGCTTACCCTCAGCCTCAAAACCTACCCGACAGCCGGATGCCCTGCAAGGTGCTGAAAAAGTTCGAGCGGAAGGAGCCCTCACTGATGGCGTGTGCTGCAACGAATCTGCCCACATCTCAGAGCTAGTGTTTTGCAAGGAATGGCGTTGTATTGCTTTCTGTTCCTATTGTGATCCTCAACCATCACAGGGTGCCTCCTCCCTTAGCAGGAGCCCTTTCCAAACCAAACCGCAGGACTCTTTTGTTAAGGCCCGGGCCAATCCCGAAACATCTCGGAAGGATGCCAGAAACCTATGACTTGGGTGGACAGAGGACTAGACAAAAATTGCAGGTTTCCATGGTTTCGGGAAATCCTCATAAGGCATTTTGTGAAACACTGCATTGGTTCTTCGTGCGCTCTCCATCACTAGGCTCTGCCAGCTCAGGTCCTTCCTCTACTTCCTGGAGGCGGAGCACACACAAGCAGAGAAGTACGCAGATATCGCGGCGACTCAGTTCAACCTTTTATAATGCAAAGTGCCGACCTTTGAGACGTAACTCCGAGCCTGTAGGGCCTGAAGGCCTTTAAGGATCTATGAGTTTGGGTTTAGGGTTTAGAGGTTAGGGGTTAGGGTTGGTTAGTGTTTAGGGATTTGATGGACAGTCTTGCTGGAGGCCTGTATCTCAAGCCTTAACCCTTAGTTTTCAAAATCCCCAGCCTCCGCCACCCTAAACCCTGAACCATAAACTCCTCAGCCCTAAACCCTAAACCCCCTGGAGCTAAGCGATGGTGATGTTCTAAGGTGAAGGCAGACCGCTACAACGTCCGGCCCTTAAGCCGTCCGCTCTCCGTATATTGCCCTTATGTTTTTCTTGCTAGCCCTTTTGCCCCTTTCTTTTTGGTTCAAGGTAACCAACCCCAAGAACGGTACCCTTATCATAAGCATGGTTGCTGGGCTACCAAGTTTTTTGGGGGGGTTCTCAAGCAAACAGAAGTATCAGGGTTGTTGAGGTGGTGTGATGGTTGGAGTGATCTTGTGCGTCACTCCCAACGGAAGCCCAGCCCTACCTTAAGAACCCAAAACCTACTTTGTTGTAGGTTACCAAAGAAATCCTTTAAGGAGTTGTAGAAGAAGAGCCTGCAAAAAAAGGGGGTTTAGGGTTCTGAAGGTATAAAAACCTTCACAAACCAAGCGAGGCTTCGAAGCTTCCACGTTCCCATTCCCTCTTGAAGGGACCTGCACCATGACTCGTCAGAGGGTTTAGGGTTTAGGGTGTGGGGTTCAGGGTTTAGCATCACGCAGGCTTTGGGGCAGCGAGAGGCGCAGTTCTTAGACAACCTAGTCGTCCCTAGCGCGGTCAGAGGTTTGGAGGTTAGGTTGAGGGTTAAAGATTCACGTAGACTTTTGCTCAGGGTTATGAGCCTTCCCCAAACCCAGCGAGCTTAAACTTCAGAGTTAAACCGAAAGCTTCCGGTAGGTCCCTGGCAGACGAAGCCTTGTTTGAACAACTTGAGGCTCGAGCCCTCGTGAACAAGGGCAACTGCAGCTCCCGCCGCATTTGGAGGTTCTTCTACTATTTGCTTAAGAGCCCCCCCCCCCCCCCAAAAAAAAAATAGACAGTAATAATCCCTATTTTACCTTTATATAAGGAAGAACATGTTCGATTTTTTTTTTTTTGGGGGGGGGGGGGGAGGGCTCCTAAGCAAATAGTAGTCTTAGAAGGGCTTCGAGCTCAAGGCTGTCCGCAGCGTGATGATTGATTTTGTGTTCGGCTTTTCATGTACGAGGCCCTCGCAGGACCAACGGATGACTCATCAACGGCATGTCCCAGAGTCAACGTCAAGATTCTGACTGAAAGTTGGCTCTAAACTCTACCGCAGCATAAAGTCGAGAGTTTTCAATTCAGGTGGCTGTTGCATGCAGATGGGAGGAGGCGCCAGTCCGATTTGCGCCCGGATGTTGCGTGCGGCCTGAGTCCTGTTGGCATGGACATCCAGCAAGTCGGAGCGGAACCGGAGCCTGCCAATTGCCTGTGCACTCCCAAGTCCGCATAAAATCGGTGGTCGGCTGCGGTGGGAGCGGTGCAGGGCCGAGGGAACCGGAGCCTGCCAATTGCAGCCATAAAAGGTTTCATGAACCAGACGACTCTAAAAGAGCGTCCCACTAGAGCCCACTTCTTCGCAGGCTACGTTTTATGGGATTCGGATTGGGGAGCCGCTGCTCTGTGTGTGTATACGCCTGTCTTGCGTTGGCCCCATGGACTAGATTCTAGATGCCGAGCAGGAAGAACGTGAATGAGATAGTTGGGGTGGGAAATCGTTCGTGGTTGATATGACCCACCCTAGCATCTCGAAAGATGGGGTCGAGTCACCGCGGCAAAGCAACGAGGAAAAATTCCCTCAGAGCCCACACACGCATAGAGATAGATAGTTGGGGTGGGAAAGGCAATTTCAGAAGGATCGGCGAGCCCTTTACAGACTCAATCTCGAGCTGAGCCGCATGCGACAGTGGCTCGCTCATGGGACATGCATAGAATAGACATCAGTGCGATCCGGTTTTGCCGGTGTGCTGCATGTCTTCTCTCCTGCTGCTGGGTGGGCTCATGGCCTCTGATGGGGTCAGCTCACTGCTCTTTGAGGCCAGGAGTCCCACCATGGCGCGAGCCGTTCCCAGAAGCGGTGATGAGGCTCTTGGTTCAGGTCCACCTCAGGAGCCACACCTACACCTGTTAAAACATTCTCGCACTGTCGTTGCGTTCGCTGGCTCCGTGTTGCTTGTTGCTGTTCGTCGTTCCTGCGCCTGGCACATTCAGCCTGTGGGCCTTTTCGAAGGAGGTGCCACCATATCTGCAAATCTGTCAACCAGCCTCGATCATTTCTTCAATGTGCTCCCTAATCCCTGAAACATCCTGAAGCTCTTTAGCTTCTGTACATGGGCTGCTCAGGCATGTTCATGAATGACGAGTTCGAGCGAGCAAAGGAGGTTTATCTTGAGGCGGACGGAGATGAGACCGAGAACCCACTAAGTCGTAAAGAACCCTCGGAACCCGAAGTCCTGCTGGGTAGAAGTCATCGAGCCTGCACCAAAACCCATCATCCCAAAATAGGACAGAAGCCAATAGCTCCCCTGGAGATTGGGGCTTCTCCGACAATCCTTGCAACCTTGCTCCCGCCTGCTGCCTGCTCCGATATCTGGTGCAGGCCATCGGGGTAAGCGCAGATTGCCTGGAGGCCATCTACAACTTGGGCTTGGTGCCGCGGCGGCATTTTTCTTCCCTCCTGAGCTGCCCAAAAAACCAGGGGCTTTGAATAGTTGCTACTTGCACAAGGCCTTTTTGTAGGCCTTCGGAGTGACATCCTTTGCTTTGAGTGTTCTGTCTCCCTACGCATGTGGTTCTACGCCATGTTCGAGCTGCCGAGGTCAATATGCATATTGGCAAGCCCGGACCTGAGTGCTTAGGCTGCTCAGTGGTCCTTTGCGCTTGGGCTTGCGAGATTGTGCCTTACCCACAACAGGGTCTAACAGGCCTGCGACTAGAAACCATTACGACACATATAGTAGGGTTCAACGCGTGCAGCCGCTTGAGGCGTTTCAGGCTTTGCAAGAATCGCATTGGGCTGCCAGGTACCAAGAGGCCCTCCTGGCCTTCGACAAGCTGCACTCGATCACTCACGCACGCATCTGAGTACGTTTCGGCAGCTGTTCACTTCAGGCAGGCATTGAGACATGCCACTTTCTGCGCTATGCATTGAAAGAATCTAAAACTCACCTAGAGTCCTAGAAGGCTCTTGGCTGAAGAATTTTGGGCTTGAACATGCGGGCGACTGCTGGCTAGAGGTGGCCTTACAAACCCTGCACCCTAAATCCTAAACCGCAGCGTTTAGGGGCGCAGCGTTGAGGGTTTAAGGTTTTGGGGAACTACAAGTTGCCTTACGAGTCCTTCTACTCCCCAACCCATCCAGCCTCACAAGCCCTGTATCCACTGCCCTACACACCCTGCAGATATAGGGTTTAGGGTTTAAGACCAGAACCCTTTGAGAGACTCAGAATCAAGCCTCAGGTGAACTGTGAGGTGATGTGGCAGTTGGGCACCGAGCTTCCAGATTCCCAAGATCCCAAAGATCCCCAAAATCCTCAAAGCCTCGTAGGATCCTGGGCTGTACACGACTTTCCAGGGCGGCTTCTGGCAACACCTCCTGTGTAAGAAGCTAGGCGGTTTGGACTGGGAAGAGGCAGGGATGCTGCTCAAAAGGGCTTAAAAGCGTTCATGCACGCAAAAGCGTTCCGCGCAGCTTTGGATGTAAACTCACAGTTTGCAGGGTTTCTGACGGGTTTTTTCTGTTGCAGAGCCCTGAGTCAGTTGCCTTCTGGGAGCCGAACGACGAGACGCGGTCTTTCCCCCAAAAAAACACCCAGGTTGGGTGACATCCACGAGAAGCTTGGGAACCACGCCAAGGCTCACGAGTGGTTCTCACTCCTGGCCCCGGTCCCGGAGCGCCGTGAGGGGGTTGAGGGATTAGGGTTGTTAGGAGAATGAATGTTATGTGACTTGATGTCAGGTGATGTTGAATCTGAAGTGTGCCTTATGGGTCTGGGTTGAATATTCGAGGCTTGGGCTCGGTGGGTTAGGAGGATTTGTAGAGCCGGGTCTTGCCACTCTGCAGCTGCGCTTCGTGGGTGATTTTTCCCCGTACGAGGGGCTGGGCTAGATGAGCCTTAATGTTCAGGTCCCCGCTGTCGATTCTCGTAGGATGTTGCCAGTTCGGGGTTCTCATGCCTTCCTCAACTTAGCCCAACACCGTAAACGCCGTAAACCCCAAACCCTTTGCCAACTTTCCCCTCGACTGTGAGCCTTCCGAGTCCTTAAAGCCCTCGTGGCTTCAGGGTGCGAAGCAGCCTTTGGGCTCGCAGGGCTGTTGCCTTCATAGGGTGTAGGGTTTAGGGTTCAGGGTGTAAGGTCAGTGTAGGATCAGGGTAGGCCCTACAGCAACCCTCGCGAGTGCATTTGTGCGACCTCGTAAGGTCACATCTCCGAAGGGCCGGCCAACGGATCCAGGTGGTCTGAGGGTCCTGGCTTCATTTCCAGGTTCAAGAGCCATTGAAAGTGTTCCAAACCAGGCTCTGGGGCATCATGTGAACAGGAGTCAGAGTTCGGTGCGGCGCTTTCTGTTGATGGTCGTGCATTCTTCTATACCAAACTTCGTCATCGAGTCATTCTGAACCTGAAAATCTCGGGCCTGTAATCCCTCCAGGCCTCAAGGGATGGACTGGGGGCTCTGCGTTGAAGCTGGCCTCGGCAGTCTCTGGGGGTTCAATCCTTGGGTGCCCAGCGAGCCCCACGAGCGAGAATCCGAGAATCACATCTTCGCAGAAATAGCAAAACCATGTGGTCTCAACTGCTCACACGTTGCAGACAGCGCACGTCCCGAAAGTCCTGGGTTCTCTGCAATCCCGAGTACTTGAACCAACTTCCAGGTCCGTACGGAACCCCGAGCCCAGAGATCCAGTGAAGCAAAACAACTCGGGGCCCTTCTCCTTGGCTTCGAATTTCAGGAATGTTCTGTGTGGAGTACTGTTGGAGCTTACGGCGTAGGTTCTGGGCTTATGTTTCGAATTCACCATGTAGTTGTCCGTTACCCTCCAGGCGTCCTGGCACGTCTCGCCAACCTCTTCAACAAAGCGGGTGACGAGACACAGGCGTTTCACTACCACCTGGAGTCTTACAGGCCGGACTGGAGTGTTTGCCCAACTTGGGGGCCTTTGAGAATCCTTTGAGATCTTGCGTCCTTCAGCTTCCCTCAACGCCGCGCAGTGTCTGGGGCCCCGTCCATCCATGATTCGCTGGGGGGACCCCGATTCCCAACCCAAAGCCTCGAGACCCGAAAATCGCGTCTCACTCAGAAAGAGAAAGAGAAGAGCCCGGAAAGAGCCCCGAACCCACCCAGATACTGGCCGGTCGACATGAATGTCATCACCTGGCTTGGCATCTACTACGTCAAGCAGGAGATGTGGCGGAGCCCAGCTTCACCTGTCCTTGTAAGTTCGTGCCTACAAGGCAGGGGAAACACGGGGGTCAATGGGAGGGCCTCTCCTGGAGTAAACTTCACAGAAGATGCTTCATGATCAACTTGAGTCAAGCTCGTAGCTAGCATTTTCATAGGGCGCCAAATACAACAGACAGCGGCCTCACATGATGAAAGCAATGCTGTAGCCTTCCGGGTTTGTGCTTTGTGGCTTTGTGTATCCGGGAGCACTGCGTAGGAACTTCATACAAGCCCTACATGAAACCGCCCGAGGTACGAGGCAGCAATCCCCTTCTTCTCCAGGGCATCGCAGATTGAGCCCAACGAGGCATGGATTTCAAGCCTCAATGCCCAACTTCAACTGCCAAAAGCCCCAACCCCCGAAACCCTGAACCTTACGCCTAAACCTGATCCGCCTAGCCAACAAAACGCTCCAAACCCGGAATCCTGGAGCCAAAAAATGGGAGGTCCAAGAACTCCTTTGGGCTTGTGATCTGAGAAGGTCTCCTCGTTCGACCGCGCCGTGGAGTTTATCCGGTTTTGCTCGTGATTTGATTGTGTCGTGCTTCCTTCCGCGTGCCTTCGTAATCTTCAAGCATCTTCGAACATTAATCCCAAGAAAGCTGAGACCCGTGAGCCTATTTTTTTGAGCTTCTTCACACTGGGGGATGCACAGAATTCCTCACAGGTGAAGTGGAGGCTCATGGTGGCGTCTTGCTACAGACGGATGGGCATGCCGGCTGCAACAGTGAACCAAATGTCCCTCTTTTAATGGCAGCTGAGAGTTGCACCATGTTTCACCCTAAGTTTTGGGGGCCGGAAGATTTCAATGTTTGAGGGTCGTGGGCTTCGGGTGTTCGACCTCGCACTGCAGCTGCTTTGTTCCGATGCCCCTTCCCTCGGAAGCAGATACATTCCGCAACACGCACGAAACACAACTACTTAGGCCTGTTAGCGGGCTGGATGCTAGAAAGGTTTGCTGGCAGGGCCTCGGTTGTTGGGATGATCCGTTGTTCTCTCTAGGTGTAGCATGGTGTGGCCGGATTGTTGTCCGATAGGCTCTGTAGGTCTAACAGGCTACCGGCTTTGGTGGTCCCGGGGCGTCGCCGCGCAGAAGCCGTGCGACGCGATCAACCATGCACCCTTTCGACGGTGCTGGCGTGCATTGCGGCGCATTCGGGCGCCGTCCTGAAACCCGCCGCGCGGCTCTCGTTTTGGAAGGCGCAACGGGGAGGGGTGGAAAATCCTGGTTAGTGCCCCTTTGCAATGCAAACACAATGCGTAGGATGGGCCCTCTGATCTGGCTCTTTTGTAACCAAGGCAGTACCCTCCCTGCTCTGGGAGCAGGCAACGGGAGGGCTGATCGGGCAGAAAACGTGCATGTGAAAACCTGAAATCGTGGAAGGTTACCTGGGGTCGCATCGTTTTGCCTGAAGCCTCGTACATTACAAGGGGTCACATCGTTTCCTTCTCGCGGAACGCAGGGGATTGCCCCTCTTGGAAGGTGGGCAACCTTGTGAATTGCACGGGCTGCTCCTGTCGACATACATACATGACAGGTGCAGGACTTTTCGGTCGTTTCTGCTGCAGAACGTGCTTCTACGTCGCAAATATCGCAGGGTGGCGTACTTTTCGGCTTTTCTTTGCCACGGATTCTCTTATGTCGTTTGCGCCGCTGAGGTGCCTATCCAGCTGCCCTGAAGCTCTATGAGGTCTTTGGGGTTGCGGATGCATCCATGACTTCCATGCAGCGTTTTGGATGTAGGGACATGTTGAGTTCGGATCGGAGCGAAGAACGGCAAACAGCCCTGGCTTGTGGCCAGAGTTTGCTCATACCAGAACTGCGGCAAGTCCTGTGCAGGATATCCACAGGTCGCACCCGAACGACATCGAGTGCGTCAGGTACCTCATAACCATTTGCAAGGCGCCCCGGCAGAGAGCGCAAGCGCAAAAACCAAATCCTCCCTCCCAGCCCGAGCTCCAGATTTCCAACCCCATCCGCTTCTAGGACTGTTTAGGTGCATCTTGCACTGGGTGTGAGTTGGTTCGAGGTTGTTAGGTTCAGAGGCACTTCTGGGTATGAAGTGCTCGTCCTTTCGAGCTTTCGGTTTGGGCTTCGGATTTAGGGTTCATGGTTGAGGGTGTAGTGTTTAGGACTGGTTTCCAACTTCGTCTTGGAGTACAAATCGGGCAGTGTCTCTTGTTCAGCGGCCAGACATCCAGCGTTGCAGGGGGAAGCCCAGCTCTGTTTTCGGATGCCCAGCCACAAAGCCTTCAGAACTCAGAATCCTCAGAAGTTCCAGGAGATTTGGTTCACAAAGCAACCCCAAAGATCCCAAGCCGCCAAATGTCAACCGATCTTCCGAGTCCTGTGGCAGGAAATGAAACAAAAGTACGTGCGGCCGGCCTGCTTGCTTTTCCGGGGCACTGAAGACCATATTGAAGTCCTTTCAAACCCTGACTCCGCATGTCCAAAACCCTATCAAGTCCCTGAAAACTGTTTAGGGCGTATGTAGGGTTTATCGGTTTAGGGTTTATGGTTGAGGGTTTACCATGTGGGCATCGAATCGATTTAAGCCGTTGTTGACAGGTGCGCGCAGTCTGTGCAGCCCTTATAGGACCCCCAACGAGCTGTTGTGCACTCTTTAAGCCTTTTTTAGGAGTTTGTGAAGAACATCCTTTCAAGAACTAAAGATGGGTTTCCGGGAGGAAGGGGGCGGAGTAGGCGGGGTAGGCCGTTTTGCACCTGCCAGGACCACTACGCAGCTCACCTTCGGAAACTGGAGAGACTGCAGGCGCGCTCTCTGCTTGCCGCAGTGCTCACGACGTGATTTGTTCAGTTCTCAAAAATGGTGGTTGCTTATTGGGGCCGCCTTATAATGAATGAGGATCCCGAAAAGGACCGCAATGTAGAGAAGTGATCATTCGGATGTGAATGAGTTGAGAAGCCCAAGATGCCCAAGCTTCCACAAGGAAGTGCACAAAAGGCAGACATGACACAACCCCGAATCCCATACAAGGGAGCCCTAAAATCCAAAGCACCAGAGGCGGAAGTATTTTAACCCCAAAGCGAAGTCTCAGACACCGAAATCCAAGCCTAGAATGTCAAGACACGCCTCGAAACCCCTGGTTCCGACCAGGCGGCGAACGAGCAGCCGGGTCGGAACATGGGGACCGTCTCTGCAATCGGCCAGGGAGGCCGCGAAGCTTCAGATGACACCATGTAAAGTTTTGTTGAGGAGATCTTCTGCAAAGGTCTTGCCCTGCTTCTGCAGGCCTTAGGGGGTTTCCGGGCTACACCTGAGAGATTTCAACAACATGTTTTGAACAGCACTTTTCGGCTTCGGCGCTTAGGAAGCTCCTGGTGCGCATTTCCATATGCACCCGAGTCCTCACCTCAACCTGAATCAAAAGAGGAAGACCCTTCCCGCATTAGAGCGAATAGGGCCAGTTTGAGTTAGAGCTTTGCCGATGCGAGGACGTAGCTACCCGTCCGGGTTGCTGTTGTTGAGTGTAGCTTCTTCGGGCTTTCAAGCTTTATATTTTACTAAGCCCTAACCCTTAACCCTAAACCCTAACCCTACACCCTATGCCCTAAACCCTTTCAAACCCTGCGCTGTGACACAAGGCCTCGAGGACAGCCCCCACGGCGACAGCGGAGAGATGGTTGGCTTCGGGCGCGGGGCTCGGTCTGAGGGACCGTGGGGATTTTTGTGGGATTGAGGGTTGGGGTTTGGGGATTCGGGTTTAGGGTTTAGGGTTAAGCGTTTAGGATGGTGCAGGGTTTCAAGTTGGGTTGTCAGCTCAGATCTCAGGGTAGTTTCATGGGCCCTTAATGTGGTCCGGAACCTCCTTTAAAGGGTTTCTGAGGTATGGGCCCTTAATTTGTTTAGGGGTATACAAAGGGTACCCTCTTAAGGGCCCACACACCCTCAGATCAGACGGTTCGGGAGGATTTGCCAGCATGTCGGAGCATGTCTAAAAGTCATTCTGTTTCTGCATGTTTCGGTTTCTTCCTTGGCGTGTTTTTGGATTTCGGCCTTGGCTTTGATTGCTTTCTACCTCTGGCAGCAGGCAGGCTGGGTGAGTAGACCACAGTGGGTTCTCCCATTTGTCTTGTTGTTGGCTCTTTTCCTCAGTTTCCTCGGCTTCCTCGGTGTTATTGCCTTTCATGATCAAACCCGTAGCTTTCCTTTTATCTCTCTCGGTTTCCTTGGTGTCCTCGTTTCCTTGGTGTGCCCCAGCTTTCTTCGACTGTCGCAGTGTTCTCTCTTGGTTTGCTCGGCTTGCTCACTTGCACATCTGCCGTTCGGCTTCTATGGTTTCATCGGTTTGCTCGTTGTCCGGGTTTCTCAAACACCGCCGCCCTGTTTTTTGTTCTTTTTCTCTTCTGGTTTCCGGGGTTTGCCAGAGAATCCCATGAGAGTTCTGGGGCGGCTTCAGGTCGAGATCATTGCACTCCCTCACCTTGCCCCCCCCCTCCCCCCGCGTTTACAATCCCATCATCACCTCTGTTTTGGTTCTTAGAGGTTTTTTGTTCGGTGATTTTATGCGACTCCCGTGCCAATGATTTCGTTTCAACACATGGCCTGTTCTCGAAAGTATGGGTTTTTGGGTATCCGGAAGCATTAGTGCCGCCTTTTTAATCGAGACCCCAAAGGGAGCATAACTTGGAGAAGTGACCGTATCTTGTGTCTTGAGATGAAGGATCCTCCCTCTTCCCCCTTCTGCACCTGAAGCCACACCTAGCCAGAGCCCTTGTCCTTAGACATGCCCCATGTTTGACCATCTCTATGGCAAAGGGTGGGCTACTGTGACAACAGGTCTTCCTGACAAGCCCAAGGCTTCATGTACGAAAAGAGCGGGCATTAGTAATTAGATATGTAGACTCAGGAACAGGTTGCAACACCACTTGGCTTAGAATGGAGCCTTGCAGAAGCCGCTACGCTTTGCAAAAAAGTCTCATACAAGCGAAGAAGTTCTCAAAAGTTCTCAACAAAGGAAAGGGATGTTCATTTAGCTTCTTTTCACTTGTTGGGACTCTGTCTCCCTCTGGTGGACATCATGGTTCCGTAGAAATTCCACAGGGGTTTGCCGCCATTCACTTCAACCCTGAATACCATTCGAAGCATCAAAAGCACGAATACCTTGGGTTGGTTGAAGCTTGAGAATAGGAATCCGGCTTAAAAATGAGGAGCTACAGTGACGGTTTGGCTTCACAATTGAGTTTTAGGTCTCGCGGCCGCTTCGACCATGATGAGGACGGCTGTGAGGTTTTTGGTGTTCGTCAGCGAACCCACTCAGCCCGAAGCCCTTAAGCGCCCTCAAAACCTTCGTAGGTCCTGAAATCTGAAATGCTGAGCTAAATCATCCGGTGAGATGCGGTAGCTCTTGTGGACTAGTACAGCACGTTTTTTTGGAGGGGGCTTTTGTGGCGTTTTCTGGTGCAAAGCTTTGAAGGATTTAGCTCAGCATGCCGCTGTGTCAGATGCTTTCTAAGATGTTGAAGGAGGCCCCAAGGCCCGCACCCGAAGGCCGAAGGCACTGAGCCCTGAAGAACAAGTTGAAGCTCGAGACTCTGTTGTGGGCTCTCGCCTTGAGGCGTTTGAGGGGAGAGTCCCTTTGCCTTTTGCATGTTCAAGCAAGTGTCCTGAAACAGGACGACCCGCCACCTCCTCCCGATGTCCCAAGGCTGGGCACAGGGGCCCTTGGGGATTCCGAGTTCCGGAGAACCTCCTAAACCCTAAGCCCTAAACTTTGGACCATTTCGTCTGGCCTTGGCAGGTTCACGAACTGACTAAATGTAGAAGACCCGAACCGAAGCTGCTAGCCGCTAAACCTGCAGCCCATACAATCCCTGCAAAGGCAGTTTTGAGAAGGGCTTTCTCTAAGTTGGCCCCTCGTATGATTCATGGTTACTTCACTTTGTGTTCTTTTTTACACTGACCGAAGAGACGCGACCCCTTCAACCGGAGCATGTCAATACAAAGTTATCCAACCTGGCAGCGGCGTGTGTGATGTTTTGTGCTGTTATTGCATCGTTGCACAACTAGCTTGTGGCTTGGGCTGCCAGCGCGCACTACGCCCGCAAGGTTTTGTGACTACCCGCACATGAAGCAACCATGCTCCAAGGATGGGAAACGTCTGCTACCCACACATGTGTTGCATGGAGCACCCATGCCAGAGCGATGAGAACGTTCAAGTGTGTAGTCTCGCGCCCACTGAGTGCCTTTTCCAAGCGCGGAAAGCTGCGCACTCTCTGTTCGTGTTTTGTTTTGCGTGTGTGCGTGCATGGGCCCTGATCCCCCGAACTTCCCCTAAGCTCTTAGAGGTCCTCAGCCTGGAAAGCTGTACCCCAAACCCTCAAAGCCCTAAATGCCAAGAAGCCCTCAAAAGCACTTAAAAGCACCCGCCTGAAGGCCGCCGGTGGAGCTGTATGAGGCCGAGGCGGACCTGCCAACCAAGGGTCCGGGCGCCCAGGAGCTTTCCTTAAGTGAGTCTCGGGCACGCTCAGTCTGGAGCAGGTGTGAGGACCCCCCCTCTCTCTTAAAGACCCCCATAGTCCTTAAGACGGGGCCTTCAGCGAACTCCCCACACAGTGGTCACGCTCTTACGCCTTCGCAGGACGAGGGGTCGCCTGGGAGGATGTGTAGTCTTTTATTGAGAGCCAGGGTAGGGGAAAGCTGCGGGCAGATTGAAACCCGTAGTACCTCAAGATGAAGTAGATCCGCAAACGCCTCAGCTGTCAAGATTGCCTGGAGCCCATTTCAGTCGGACCTTTGGAACGCACAATTGAGGACCCTTGTTGCAGCAGCCCTGCTGCTCTAGACAATTCCCTTTCGTCACGTCACTGTTGTTCAACCCCCCTAAAACCCTATAAACCCTACACCCTAAAACCCTAAACCCTACAAACCCTAAACCCTAAACCCTAAACCCCGGCTGTCTTCGCCTTGACTTTTCAAGCCCCAACGCCGCCCAGCTGCTCCGAAACGTCGCCTTGCGGCCCCGAAAGCGGCCGACGACGATGACGCCGCGACCTCAGAGGGTCCTTATGGGTTGAGGGTTAATAGGGTTTAAGGGCCTTCACGAAATGCTCTGGGACCCTCGTAGGGGCGGCACTGGCACTCTCCTGAAATTCGTGACGTACTTCTTGCTAAAGCCGCCCGAAGTTCGAGCCTGCCTCTTTACATTCCTATATTGGGCTCTGAAATAGTAGATGCAAGTCTGTATGTTTCGTGGGTGGAGGGGTGCAGGAGTGTTAGGCGTTGAGGGTTGCTGCGAGTCAGTGCCTTCGGGAAACTTCGCAATTTCGACCTGGGAATCTGGGATTCTGGGATGAAGACGCAGGCAGTGCAGGCACGCAGCAGGTGGCGGGTTTGGGTTTGTCCCGGCGATTCAGGCAGGTGTGGACAGGCGTTTCGTTGCAAGAAGACCCTGAGACTTGCTTGATGAACCCCAGATGCCCTGGATCCTAAACCCTACATCCTAAACCTAGCTTATGCTACATGGTGTCTTGCTCCAATTCAGAATGAGCTCGGGGAGCTTTAGGAAGGGCAGTGGCGCCATATCAGAAGCTCTACTTTTCTGTCCCAACGATGTTCGGCAGAAGCTGATTAAGCTTAGAAAGACGTGTAACCCTAAGGTCGATTCACGCACATGGGTCACTTGTGTCAGTCTAAGAGCACCTTGAGATCACAAAATTCTATTGCGAAGGCGCTGTTTCTGCTTGGTTCCTCCTTGCCAAGTGTTGTCCCATGAACGCAGTCCAAGGGCAGCATCTGGAATATTATCGAAGGCCCGCAAGTACACCAGCATCCTTCCTGTTTTTCCACTACTTTCAAGCATCCTCGGCGTTAAGCCCCGTTAAGCACTATTCCTCAAACCCTCAGCCCGAGCCACCAAGCCCAAGTCCTCTGCCTTCGTCGAGGATTGGGGCAACGATGACCTCGGAGACGTGTTGCCTCCAATGTAACCGCAGGACGGGTCATAAACGGGTCTTGCAAAGGAGGGGCTGCAGGACTAAGCTTCTTCATCGTATGTTGGGACGCACCCATGTACAAAATTCTACATGGGAGTCACAGTCACTATCCTTATAAGCCCAATAGTCTCGAACAGGACCTTGAACATGTAACAGACCCTACGCCCTAAACCCGAACCCCCTCCACCCCCCTCCCCTCTCTGCACAATAGGACTGCCGCTCGGCGCCGCCATGTTGTACAGAAGGCTT